TTTTGTTGCCCAGGCTGGAGTGCAATGGCGCAATCTCAGCCTGCTACAATCTCTGCCTCCCGAGTTCAAGAAATTCTCCTGCCTGTCTCCTGAGTAGCTGGGATTATAGGCACCCACCACCATGCCCACTAATTTTTGTATTTTTAGTAGAGATGGGGTTTCACCATATTGACCAGGCTGGTCTCAAACTCCAGACCTCAAATGATCTGCCCACCTCAGCCTCCCAAAGTGCTAGGATTACAGGTGTGAGCCACTGTACCTGGCCTTTTTTTTTTTTTTTTTTTTTTTTGAGACAAGGTCTCACTCGGTTGCCCAGGCTGGAGTGCAGTGGTGTGATCACAGCTCACTGCAGCCTTGGACCCCTGGGCTTAAGCGGTCCTCTTGCCCTGGCCTTTCTACAGGTGTGAGCCACTGCACCTAGCCTCAATTTTAAAACATAACCAGGGCCAGGTTCGGTGGCTTATGCCTGTAATCTCAACACTTTGGGAGGCTGGTGTGGGAGGATCACTTGAGCCCAGGAGTTCAGATCATCCTGGGCAACATAGCAAGACCCTGTTTCTACAGACACCAAAAGATTAGCCAGGCATGGTGGCTTATATCTGTAGTCCCAGCTACTCAGAAGGCTGAGGCAGGAGGATCTCTTGAGCCCAGAAGTTGGAGGCTGCCGAACTATGATCACTGCACTCCCACCTGGGTGACAGAGTGAGACCCTGTCTCTAAAAAAAAACCACAACAATAAAATAAATTAAAATTGTTTAGGCCCAGCTGTGTGAAGACCGGTGTCCCCTGCCCTGCCCGCCGTCCCCCTGCTGTGTTCTTGCTGAGAACTCCTTCCTGAGGGCTCCATTTCCTGGCCCAGTAGAAGGCCTACTCCCAGCTCCCTAATCTCCCACGCTGGTCCCTTATCTGTTGGCCTAGACTCTCTTTCCCTTTAGTTTTGGAATCTGCCGTTTTTTTCCCTCCATGAGAAACCTTGGCAGAAGGCCTTGTCCATGGGAAATCAAAGGACCCAGTTAGCAGCTCAGCTCTGGCCTGTCCTTGGCCTTGGCCTTGGCTTTGCATAGTACTGTGAGCCAGCAGATAGGCAAGCTCACCTGTGCTATGCACGGCCTTCTCCAGATCCTTCTCAGAGCAGCCTACCAGAGGCTGTATTTGCAGAGGAGCTGGCAGGGCCTGTGTGGAGCCAGCTGCACTGCACCTGATAAGTTTGTTTGCTTATCTTTGTTTGTGTGCTTGTTGCTGGCTCCTTGGAGCTACGGGCGTGTTTGTGTGGTGTTGGAGATGGCTGACCCTGATTGGTAAAGCAGGGATAAAGCAAGCAGGGCAGGGTGTGGTGTGAGAAATTCTGTCATCTGGTCTGCCGGTGCCCCCATTTCTTCCCCGAAGAGAGATTTTCCTTCTGTTCTCTGTCCCAGAGGGCCCTGGAACAGCTGCTTTTAGGTTCTTGGAAAGATGGGGAGCAGCCACCCCCGCTAAGCAGCTCAGATTGAGGTTGGGGTGTGCTGCCCTCCCAGACAACTGGAAGGTTGACACAGCAGCGCTGTGTTTCAGCGCTTTGTTTTTTGTTGGCTGGGATCACTGGAAATATATCAGTGAGACGTAAATGTGTCCTGGGAGCTTGAGCTGCCCAGTAGGTGACCCATGGCTGCAGAACAACCAGCTCCAGTGATGTGTTGTCTTGGAAGGGCAGCTGGCCTGCCTTCTGTCAGGTCACATGGGTTGGCTGATACTGGTTTATGTGTAATTTTTTTTCCTCCTTTTTAACATGGTGCCTCAAAGTCATGGGGACTTAAAAGTAGAAATTAGGAGGGAAGGGCAGGTTTTTCAACTGGCTCCTGGGCTATGCTTGACAAAGGCATCATTGTTTTGAATAAAGTGCCAGTTGGTGTGGTGTGCGTCACTTTGGTGATCTGAAACTGGCTTCTTTTCTTCCACCTCTGCTGCTGATCCTTGGGCTGGGCTGGGAGGAGGACCGCTGTTTCCAGAGGAGAAACCGCCTCCGTTTGTGTCTCTGCTTAGCAGGAGCAATGGGAACAGCTCTTAGGACAGTGAGTTAAGTACTGCAGAGCACCCGGGCGTGGCAGCTCACGCCTGTAATCCCAGCACTTTGGGAGGCCAAGGCGGGAAGATCACTTGAGCCCAGGAATATAAGACCAGCCTGGGCAACAAAGCAAGACCCTCTACAAAAATTATTTTTAAAATTAGCCAGGGATGGTGGCCTGTGCCTGTGGCCCCAGCTACTTGGGAGGATGGCTTTAGCTGGGGAGTTTGAGGCTGCAGTGAACCATGATTGTGCCACTGCACTTCAGCCAGCCTCGGCAACAGAGCAAGGCCCTGTCTCAAAAAAACAAAAACAAAAACAAACACAAAAACCAAGCTATTACAGAGCAGACTGCGGTCTCTAGGTCTGTTGGGCATCCTGGACCCCAGCTGTTGCAGCCAGCCTTGCCTCTTGGTAATGCCCTAGGGGCATTGTGCTTCCAGGCATTACACTGTATGCTGGTGGCCTCAGCCTCCCTTAGCCCTTGCTTGTTCGAGACATGAGACCACCTGCTCTGGCCAAGCTCCCCACCTGCTGTCCCTGCAGCTCCGGTTGATTCTCCCCAACACCTTTTTGGTCCGGTGTCTGTCCTGTGTGTATATGATGCTTCAGGCTACAAATAACCAGCAAGAGAGAACAGTTCCTCTGCTGAACTCCCTCAGACTGAGGAGCAGAGCCTTGGGGTTTTGGCTTTCTGATGCCAACTTAGGTTGCATTGTCCTACCTCTGCCCTTCCTTGGTTTCCTATTTGTGTGGCTTTATGAGGAATATTCCTCATGTCCAGATATCTTTGTGTAAATCCCAGCCCTGAAGGAGTTTAGGGCATTAGGAGAACTCCGTGGAGGGTGGGAGGATGGAGCTGCTCACATGGAGAGGTGTTTGTAATGAGAAGATGGAGACTCATTTCCTCCCCAAGTCAGGAACTTCGTTTCTCTGCATTTGAATTAGTAGCTCTCCAAGTGTAGTGTGGTTATACCCCCACATTTGAAGAGCCTAAAAGGAGGAAATGCAGAGTGCAAAAAACATGTCAGGTCCCTTGCCCCAGACAGCCAAATTCAAGTGTTTTTTCCTCAAAGCTAGAGCTGCAGTGCAGGAGCAGTGTAGACCTGGTGGACAGAGGAGCTAGATGGCTGGGTGGTGAGATGAAATGACCTTACCATAGGGTTTGTCTTATTCAGAGACAGACTTGGGAAGCACCTCCGTGGTACCATTTGAGGAGCACAGAAGAATCTGTGAATGGATCTAAGATGACTTCTTTAGGTCAGTCCTTTGAGTTTTATGGGATTAGAGTTGGCTTGCTATTAAAATGTGTTTGCAAAAATACCTAATTTGTCTTCCCCTCTCTTATTTTTTCTTTTTTTTTGTTGCCCAGTCTGGAGTGCGGTGGTGCGATCTTGGTTCACTGCAACCTCCACCTCCCAGGTTCAAGCGATTCTCCTGCCTCAGCCTCCTGAGTAGCTGGGACTACAGGCGCCCGCCACCATGCCCAGCTAATTTTTGTACTTTTAGTAGAGACGGGGTTTCACCATATTGGCCAGGCTGGTCGCAAACTCCTGACCTTGTGATCCACCCGCCTCGGCCTCCCAAAGTGCTGGGATTACAGGTGTGAGCCACAGCGCCCAGCCTGTCTTCCCCTCTCTTAAGGAATAGAGAGCTTCCTTTGATATTAACCAGTTTTCTACATCACTGTTGTTTATTTTGTTAATCATCTCTTTTATAAAAATTAATCATTTTTGGCCGGGCATAGTGGCTCACACCTGTAATCGCAGCACTTTGGGAGGCCCAGGTGGGCAGATTAAGAGGTCAGGAGTTTGAGATCATCCTGGCCAGTGTGGTGAAACCCCATCTTTACCAAAAATGCAAAAAAAAATTAGCCGGGTGTGGTGGCGTGTGCCTGTAGTCCCAGCTACTCGGGAGGCTGAGGCAAAAGAATTGCTTGAACCTGGGAGGTGGAGGTTGCAGTGAGCAGAGATTGCACCACTACAGTATACTTCAGCCTGGGCGACAGAGCGAGACTCTGTCTTAACAACAACAAAAATTAACCATTTTTAATGGGCAGTAGAAATCTCTCTCAAATACATACTCATTTTGGCTGCTTTCTTGAACATATTAAGCACAATATAACTTGATTATTTAGAAACATTTTGAATATTATTTATTACATTATTGTGTAATCTATTTAATATTATTTATTTAATTTTATTTATTACATTATTGTGTAACAATCTCCATTGTTACGGTATATTGAATTCTCTGCTCAGCAGTCCTATATTCTCTCATGAGTTAGGTTTTCAAATTGAATGATCGTCTCCTCTAGGCTGTTGGCTGCCACTTGCTCAGCAGTGAGTTTCCCTTTTTGTCTGGTGTCTCCCATTTTCTGTTGGTTTGCATATGTTGTTAAATTGAGTGTAAAATCAGGGTAATTAACTTAGTGAGGGTTTAGAGACTCTCCTCTGAGTCAAGTGCACAGACCTTTGTTATCTATCTTGAATTACTTTTACTTCTGGATAACTAAATTAAGCTCCAGATAATTGTGAGATAATGGTATACGTACAGACTCCTTTTACAGAATACTCCAAAGCCATTATTAACCAGTAACATCAGTGAATGTTGTTCACCAGATTAACTTGTATATGTAATAGAAATTATCTGCTGGCCGGGCACGGTGGCTCTCGCCTGTAATCCCAGCACTTTGGGAGGCCGAGGCGGGTGGATCACGAGGTCAAGAGATCGAGACCATCCCGGTCAACATGGTGAAACCCCGTCTCTACTAAAAATACAAAAAATTAGCTGGGCATGGTAGCACGTGCCTGCAATCCCAGCTACTCAGGAGGCTGAGGCAGGAGAATTGCCTGAACCCAGGAGGCAGAGGTTGTGGTGAGCCGAGATCGTGCCATTGCACTCCAGCCTGGGTAACAAGAGCAAAACTCCGTCTCAAAAAAAAAAAAAAAAAAAGAAATTATCTGCAAATCATGTGAAAGGGCAAAGATCCTAAACTCTTCAAAAAATTACAGTATATTCTCATTTTTGAAATGTGGCAGATAAGTAAACTCAATCAACAGGGTAGACTGTGTCCCAGGCTAACTGAATTTTGCTTTTTGCCAATTATGAGATGTACATTCACTTCTTCCCCTTTGCCAAGAGGAAATAGTTTTGTGGAGGTTCTTTTTCTTCCCCCTCCCTCATTGTATAGAGGTGCATACTCATGGTCAAATATGGGATTCAGACATTTCAGAAAGATAGGAAGAAAAGAACCTTGGAAAGGTGCTCTTGGAGTTACACCCTGTTGTTTTGTTACTTTGCTTTTTTTTTTTTTCTTTTTTCTGTGCCCATGTGGTTAAAAATAGACCTGCAGCATCATTTTCAGTAGTCTTTTGAAGAGCAAAAGTTTATTTTGAAAAAGTCTAATATATCTGTCTTTTTTTTCTTTTCACGCCTTTTGTGTTAGATTTAAGAAATTTTTGCCAAGTTCTCTAAGGTTTTTCTCCTATATTCTCTTCAAGAAGTTTTATAGTTTTAGCTCTTACATTTAGAATGTGAATGATTTTAATTTAATTTTTGTGTATGGTGTGAGGTAAGGGTTGTGATTCAGCTAAATAGTCCTTTGATGAATATCCTTGTTAATAGCTCTTCTCATTACACTTCTTAAATTATTTCCTTAAGATACATTCTTAAAAGTGAAACTACAGCATCAAAGTAGGTATCTACACTGAAGTATGATGTATGCTGCAAGGGTAGTTTTCAAAAGTTCTATTAATTAGAAAAGACAACCCCTAGAATGGGAGAACATATTGACAAAGTATGTATTTAATAAATGATGTATATTTAGAATATATAAAGAATTCTACAAATTAAAAATAACTCAATTTAAAAAAATGGACAAAGGACTTGAGTAGACATTTTCCCAAAGAAGATATACAAATGGCTAATAAACATGTGAAAAGATGTTTAATACCAATAATCGTTAGGGAAATGCAGGTCAAAACCACAGTAAGAGGCTACTTCACAGCATTAGTATGTGGAACGTGTTGGTAAGCATGGAGATTGGATCCCTCTGCGTGCTGGTGGGAACATACAATGATGCAGCTGCTGTGGAAAACAGTCTGGCAGCTCCCCAACACATTAAACATGGAGTTACCATGTGACCCAGCAATTCCCTTCCTAAGGATCTCCCCAAGAAAATATAGTCCCTATAAAAACTTGTACAAAGATGTTCACAGAAGTGTTACTCATAACAGCCAAAAGTTGGATATAATCTAAATGTCCACCAGCTGATGAATGGATTAAACAATGTGATACATGCATACGATAGAATGTTCAGCAGCAAACAAGACTGGAATGCTGACAAGTGCCACATGGATGACCCTTGAAAACATGATGCCGAGTGAAAGAAGTCAGTCCCAAACGGTTACATATTATATGATTCCAGTTATATGAAATACCAAATGTCCAGAATTTGTGTTCATATAGAGACAGAGTGGATTGACAGTTGTTTAGGGTTGAAGTGGAATAACTGAAGAGGGTGGCCATTTCTTTTAAATGCGCTAAAATTGTGATGGCAGTTGCATAGCTCTCTGAATATATGAAACATGATTGAATTGTACACTTTATTTTTTGAGTCAGGGTCTCACTCTGTCGCCCTGGCCGGAGTTCAGTGGCGTGATCACGGCTCTCTGTAGCCTTGACCTCCCAGGCTCAAGCCATCCTCCTGCCTTGGCCTCCCAAGTAGCAGGGACTACAGGTAGATGCCGCCATACCTGGCTAATTTTGTATTTTTTTGTAGAGATGGGTTTTTGCCCTGTTGCCCAGGCTGGTCTCTAACTTCTGGGCTCAAGCAGTCCTCCCGCCTTGGTCTCCCAAAGTGCTGAGATTACAAGTGTAAGCTACCATGCCTGGCCGAATTGTATACTTCAAATGAGTGAACTGTATGGTATGTGAACTATAGTCCAATAAAGCTGTTACAAAAAGCAAGTTGTAGCAGTTAATAGTCCCACTAGCGTTATTTAAGAAAGTCCAACTCCTTATATTGTTCCTGATCCTGAATATCATTACTGTAATTTAAAAACTTCAATCAGCTCTATTAAGGTATAATATGTAAACAATAAAATTCACCCTTACAAGTGGACTTATCTATAGTTTTGGCAAGTTTATGCATGTGTGACCACTGCAATCAAGATATAGAACATTTCCGTGACCCCAGAAGGTTCCCTTGCCCCCTTGCCAGGCATCTTCCTCTTCACCATCTGCGTGCTATCACTATGAATTAGATTAGTCTTTCTGTGTGTTTTATATAAATGGAATCAGACAGTTTGTATCTTTGTGTCTCTCTTCCTCTGCTCGGTGTGTTGCTATCTGCACCTGTAGTTAATATTCTATCCTATGGATATAGCAGTGTGTTTTCTCCATTCATCTGTCGATAGATGTATTTGGTTTATCTTCAGTTTCCTTGTTTTCAGCTTTACCGTAGTTACCCCTTTTTTTTTTTTTGGGGAAGACAGTGTCTCACTCTATTGCCCAGGCTGGAGTGCAGTGGTGTGATCTCGGCTCATTGCAACCTCCGCCTCCCGTCTTCAAGCGATTCTCCTGCCTCAGCCTCTTGAGTAGCTAGGACTACAGGTGTGCACCACCACACCCAGCTAATTTTTGTACTTTTTTTTTTTTTTAAGTAGAGACAGGGTTTCACCATGTTGGCTAGGCTGGTCTTGAACTCCTGACCTCAGGTGATCCACCTGCCTCGGCCTCGCAAAGCGCTGGGATTATAGGCATGAGCCACTGCACCTGGCCTAATTACCCTGCTTTTTAAAATCTTTGTTAATCTGAAAGGCAAAAGAAAAAACAAGGTATCTCTGGTGCTTTAATTTACATTTCTTTGGTTCTAGTTTTCTTTGGTTCTTATTTATATTTAAGAATGTCCTTTTACCTCTTCTGTTTTTTTTTCTTTTTTCTTTTTTTTAATTGGGATATTGGCCTTTTTGCCAGTTTTTTTTTTCTTTCAACTTTTTATTAAAAAAATCGTAACAGAGAAAAGTTGGAATAATGGTGGCGTCATCTTTGCAGACAGTGTCTCACTTAACATTCACCTCACTTGTTTTATGGATCTCTCTCTCCCACTTTGAGACAGTTTAGGGGAAAAATTGCAGATATTAATGACATTTTATTCCTAGAAATAAGGATATTCCCTTTCATAACTATTATGTCATTTTTATGCCAAAGAAAATGTTGATTCTATAATATGTAATGTATGGTCTATATGAAAAGATTTCCCAGTTTTCCTCAAAATGTCTTTTGTGACTAGTTTTATGAATCAGGACCCAACTTGGCACTTGGTTTTCATCTCTGTAGCCTTTTTTCTTGTAGAAGAATCCTTCTGCCTTTCCACCCGCTGTGGCTCTGAACTTTTGAAGGGACTGGCCCAGTCGTCGTGAAGTTTGTCCCACAGTCCACATTTGTCCTCGTGTGGAACGTGTTTCCCTGCTCCCTGTGCTTCCTCTAGACCATGTGTGAGTCCTGAAAGGCTTTGTTAGATTTAAGTGGAACATTTTTGGTGGATGCTTCACGGGTGATCACATCAAAGGTACATACTGTCAGGTTGGCGCACTGTTGGTGGGGCTGAGTTCCACCATTTGATTCAGACCTTGACAGCCACATCTTTTTGATCTCTGTGCAGTGAAGCTTCACTGATTGTGGAACTCCTTACACCTTAACAACTAAGCCTTTTTCATAATGCCTCCCTCAGTTTGACACTTACCTTCTAACTTTGCTTATTGATTTTTTTTTTAATTTAGAAGGGATTTTTCCCTTAAAAAAATTTTTTTTATAGATACAGGGTTTCACCGTATTGGCCAGGCTGGTCTCAAACTCCTGACCTCGTGATCCGCCTGCCTCAGCCCCACAAAGTGCTGAGATTATAGGCGTGAGCCACTGCGGGTTCAAGTGGTTTTCCTGCCTCAGCCTCCTGAGTAGCTGGGATTACAGGCATGTGTCATCACGCCGGGCTAATTTTGTATTTTCAGTAGAGACAGGTTTTCTCCTTGTTGGTCAGGCTGGTCTCAAACTCCCGACCTCAGGTGATCTGCCCATCTTGGCCTCCCAAAGTGCTGGGATTACAGGTGTGAGCCACCACTCCTGGCTGATTTTTCACTTTTATGTAGTCAAAACACCCATGTTACAAAAGTGGTGTCTGTCAAAAACTTCCCTTTTATAAGCTCTTCCTTCCCCTTCTTTTCCTCCCCTCTTTCTTGACCTGCTTTACTTCAGAACCTGGTGTGATAAGTTAGCTTCGATTCCTATTCTGTCATCTTTTTGGACTACAGATTCAGAAAATTACATTTGACTCAAGTGTGAAATCTTGGCCAACTAGCTTTCCATCGCTTCACTTGCTCTTCTTTTTCAAGGACTTAGCTGTCACCCAGGCCAGCCCCGGGCTGGGAAAAGTAGCAGCAAAGTTGGGACTTTGATCCTAGGCTCCGCACCACTAGTGGTGTTATCTTAACTCCTCTGTCTTCAAAGCTGCAGGCCCATTTATGGTGGTGATGGAGAAGGGAGGGAAGAGCATGGGCCAGATGCCAAAGCCATTCATATCTGGAGAAGGCCTCCTGATTCCCTCTGCCTGAAACCCTTTTCTCTACCTTCTCTTTCCCTTGGAGACACTGCTCAGGCATCCTGATTAAGGAAAACACCATTGAGTGCCCCTCCATTGCGTTTCTGTACACCCTTCACACGCCTTTGCTCACTCAAAGGAAGACCTTTTATCTTCTACATTAGCTCATGAGATCCTGAGGGCGGGGCCAGGGATGGCGTCATCTCTGGCCCTCCATGCAGAGCCTGACACATCGGGCTTTGGTAAGTGTTGCTGGGATGTCCCACTCCCTGGCCTGCAGAGGGTTTCTATATGGTGTGGATGCATTTGATTTCTGGTGGTGAAAGCCAGATGGAACCACTGGCTCTTTTTTTTTTTTTTTTTTAAATCCAAACAGACATTTATCTTTACCTTATAAATAGAAAGGACCTTTTGTCCTTTCCCTTTGTAACCGTTGCAGCTCCCCTGAAGCTGGCTTCTCAGCACTCTAGGGGAATCATTTCTTATTTCACTACTTTTTTTTTTTTTTTTTTAAGACAGAGTCTCACCCTGTTGCCCAGGCTGGAGTGCACTTGTGCAATCACAGCTAACTGCAACCTCTGCCTTCTGAGTTCAAGTGATCCTCCTACCTTAGCCTCCTGAGTAGCTGGGACGACAGGCTACTCAGTCCCAGTAGTCCCACTACTCAGTGCACCACCATGCCTGGCTAATTTTTGTATTTTTAGTAGAGACAGGGTTTCACCATGTTGACCAGGCTAGTCTCGAACTTCTCACCTCATGTGATCCACCCACCTTGGCCTCCCAAAGTGCTGGGATTACAGACGTGAGCCACCACGTCCAGCCTTCACTACTGTTTATTCCCATAGATTCATAGAACTGAAAGAGATGCAGCAGCATCAGCGGCACTAGCTACTGGGTGCAGGACTCCAGCCGGGCCTGTGTTCCTCCTCGGAGAGCACTGACAGGTGTTCGCCGGTCACCAACACTCCTCTTTGTGTTCTCTATCTCTCACCCTCTCCCAGGTTGTCCGCTCTCTAGCTTGACTAAGAGGCACTTGATAAGGGTCACTGCTGTGAAGTGTGCCTGAGAGCTGATGCTGCAGGCAGTCATCAGGCCCTCGGTGGCCTTCCCTTGCTGCAGGAGCTGGGGGTGCAGGTGATGGGACAGCTGTGAAACCCCCAGCTGCGATTCCTTTGGAAAGGCTAATAAAGACACCTACTTCTGCTTGTGCTGTAGTTGCTGGTGGGATGCGTTTGCATTTTCCTGGATGTTCCTAATCTCACAGCTCTGGTTCTCTCCAGCTTCCCAGCGCCTTTGCTTATCACCCTCTCCCCCATCCCCCACAGTAGTTCCTCCTCTTCCCCTCCAGAGTTACAGAGACTTTAATCATGCCTTCCC